TGCAGGGGACATTTGATGCAAGGATTTAATAAATGTTTGAGAGGAAGGGGATAGAAGATTATTTAATATTAGGTTTGTATTATCTATTGTCATGTTTGTATCTGAGGAATGGCTCCCAGGGGGACCGGGGGATTCGTCCCCCATCGACTGTTAAGACTACACAAAGCTAAGCAAGTGAAAGTTTTGCAACTTAAAGCACCGATAGAATTAATATAGAAAGTTTGACTCACTAATGTTTTGTAGGGTCGCACTCACAAAATTAGCTTAGTGATTGATAAAAAAACACCAATTTCCACACTAACTTTTAAATTCACCTCGTTTCCCACGTGGTTCTCAACACTTTAATTCGAAAAAGAACTCCAGCTGATTTATATTTAAAAGTGATAGTTGACGTACCAAAACTGAAAGGAAACGTGTTAAAATGGTTTTCAATCATCGGTCTCGATACGTTCACTCTCAGTTGTTATACGTTATCTGTCAGTTTTGAAGCATTAATTGTAATTTTTTTCTGGGTGAACTGTCAAATGGAAATTTCTCAAAATGTAACAAAATGGACAAAAACGTAACTCAGTATTTTTCAAGTTTTCAACGTCAAACACGTAACACTTTGTAACTGAAGTAACACCAAAACAACACTGGACAAGAAGGCTATTCCTTCTCATGGTAGGCTACTACTTCTGCCTGCTTCAGCATCAGAAACCCGAAACTCATCAAAGTGATCTATATCACTTCAACTTTTGCCGCATCGCCTTTGATAATGTCCGCCGCAGTAGCAGACGATACGTCAAGTATAAGAATCTGCAGACCACAAGTAATTACCCGAGAAACATCCGACAGTTTCTCAGACACCGGTCATGAAAATCTACACACCATGAATAATAATGTTTGTATTGCATTGATAGGTATAACAGACATACAGAAATAAAACAAAATGAATGAATACACCAACACATAAAAATATTGTAGAAGTTTTTGCACTTCCACTCGGCCAGAGAAGGTTTTTGGGAAGTTGCAAGTAAATTTAATACGTTTATCAATATTTTGTTATATATTTAGACAACGAGAAAAATAGGAAAAGTTTGCTATTTATACATTTCAACCCTCCTCTGTAATGCAATAGTTAGGTAACTTCGAATGAACTCAAACCAAACGACAAAAGTGTATTGATCATCAAGGGGAATATTTCGAAAAAAAGTAAAGCCATTTTCATTAAAAAACTTTTGTTTTTACATGCTATTTTCGAAATATAAATAGTACCCCTTATATAAAGGCAATTTTCCGGGATTTCTGGCCGGTATCTAAAGGTTTTTATGCCTGACGTTTCGTCTACTGCTGCGGTAGACATTTTCAAAGACGATGTGGTAATGGTCGCAATACCCGAGCTGGTACACTGGTTCTTGTCCCTGTTGTATCCACTGCATTAGTTAATGCGTTGAATATAACAGAAATAAGCACCAGAGCACCAGCCCGTGTTTTCCACCGTTACTACATCGCCTTTGAAAATGTCCTAGCGGTAGACGAAACGTCAGGCATAAAAACCTGCAGACCACGGCCAGAAAACCCGGGAAATAGCCTTCTTGCAGTTACTCCGGTCTTCGGTCTTCTGAGACTGTTCATACTACAGTTGCATTGCGATGTAATAGGCTATGTAAGATAGTAAGTGGCCCAGAACAGTCAGTATCTTCACCACTTATGCTTATTTTTAACATTTTTGGGTCGCTCTGCATATTTATTTCAACTCCGAAATAAATTAAAACTGATTATGTATGTTTTGATTCATGATTTCATCAGGTATCTTTAAAATGCTTCAATCAGCTTTAATACTCATGAAATGAAGAAGATGATCGATTAGTGATTCTTTTTCATGTGAGGCTAGTGGATCTCTGTGTGAATGTGCGTTTCTATAAAAACAACTGATATTTACATTCGTTCGTCAACAAGAAATCATCTGTTTTTCTTGGAACATCAATTCAATATTTACATTCAAACCAACACGTGTTATTTTTCCACTATAAGGTAAACAAAATATCTTTGGGTGTAATTTATCTCAAAAAATAATCCGTAGGTTTATTGACACTGTGTGTATAAAGATGAAAAGTGATAATTCCGCAATTATTAAAATTATTTCTGTTTTCATCGTTTTATCATTAAAAGCTTTCATTTAACTTGACTTGTATGTATGTTAACAAATCTTGCAAGTTTAATTTGATCCACTTCCCGGTATCCGATTGACCTGAAATTTTGCATGCTGGTCCAGAACCGATGACAATGCATGTTAATCATAAACGTGACCTGATGCTGCTGCCAGGATTGGCTCCGAACAAGAGATCTCTTTAGCGGTAAATAGCAGGGACATGAAATTTTGTATACGCATTCGTTTATGATAGGCAGTTGGTAGGCCTACCATGAAATATATGCCTCATCCAGGATTGGCTTCAATAAAACAAATATATTTCTTGAACCTTTTCTTTACCTTTGAATACCTACTTCCCGACTCTAAAAAGAAGACAATAAATGGTGTAGTAGGTTGTAAGAACCCATATTTATTTGCATTGTAAAAAAGATTATTATGTACCACCCTCTAAGTTCCCAGAGTAAGAGGGTCCATCACGCAATGTGAGCAACAGACACAAGAGGCATACGAAGACTTGTGTAATTTGGTGAGATGGGCGTCATTAGCATTGGTCTGCAACCCGTCTGGGAGAAGGAAAACTCCAAAATCAAACCCGAAACGGTGTTTCGTCAAGCACGAGTAAGCTCTAAGCTGAAACAATTGGCGCATCTTTCACCAAATTACCAACCAAGTCAAGGTGAGGCCGGGCCCATGACTGAGTGTCATCAGGGTGTAAAATGATGTCGTGAACGACATCACAGGGTGTACCGCACCCTGCTTTTACCCTGCTAAACGAAGCTCTGGGAGGGTTGACAAATAAATCTTTGGTACTCTTGAGAACACTATGGGAAATAAAGAAACATCAACACAAAGGAAAAGAAGGTTAGAGAAAGAGAAATTGAAACGAAATGAAAAACTTACCAATGAAAGCGTTAACTTGAAACGCCAAAGGCCTCCTGATAGAAGAATTAGACTGTTCGAAATTAACGGGGACTCGGCCATGTAATAATGACGCCATCAATGAAATGAATAGACTAAGAAATATAACAAGCGAATTCTTCTATAAGGTATGCCGGAGGAGTAGGTACCTACCTACTTCTATAGAATATAGTTTATCTTAATATTAGTTTTCCCTGTTCCTTAAGTTTTTCTGTTGAAGGACTCTCCGTTTTATAGATGGACTTTCGTATTGATCGATAACTATATATCGATTGAAACTAAAAAATATAAAAAAAATAATGATAAAAAACTTTTAAAACAAGTTGCCCTAAAAAGATCAAAATGAAATTTCAAATCACATTAACCACATTCATTTATGACTTTACAGAAATGAAATTATAATAAAAGCTTGTCGCGATCGCAATTTGTAATTGAAATTTTGTAATTAGGTAGGCACCTACTAAACTTGTAAGCAATTCATAATGTTTGTAATTAAATAAAAGTACCGTGAATGCTTAAAATGTGGAACTTCAACCTTGAATACCTTTTTTGTACACATGGGATTTATCGGGTTTGATATTTATTGCAGTACCTAGTTGATCTGTCAGAATGTTTCTTAATTTAAATTTGATCTGACTGAATATGTAGAGATTTCTTCTAGGCATCGCGACAAGCTTTTATTATAATTTCAATTCTGTAAAGTCATAAATGAATGTGGTTTGAAATTTTATTTTGATCTTTTTAGGACACTTAAATTTGATCTGACTGAATATGTAGAGATTTCTTCTAGGCATCGCGACAAGCTTTTATTATAATTTCAATTCTGTAAAGTCATAAATGAATGCGGTTTGTGTGATTTAAAATTTTATTTTGATCTTTTTAGGGTACTTAAATAAAAGCTTGTTTTAAAAGTTTTTTATCCTTATTTTATATTATTTTCAAACTACACAAATATTTTTCGAAATGAACGGACTTTCTCTGGGTAACAATTCTGAATTTCTATTCAGGAGTTGCGGAATTCAGTTATCTAATAACTTTTTATCCTAGTTGATGAAAAAAAAAATTGCCACGCAAACAAAGAAGATGAATGCTTAAATAAAAAGAATCATATTTTTTTTATAGTTGTGATAGAACCAGTAACTAGTTTGAATTTTTTCCTGCAAATGAGAGTGTGTTACCTGAAATTTAATTTCCCTGTTTCAAATATTTTTTTTAAAATTTCGATTAAATATATTTTATTATTATTATTGAATTGATGAAATCATCGTGTCGTTGGATTATTCATAATTTCTTTGTTCTTCATAGCGCTTTTAAGTTTACGTCTTCTACATAACAGATAATTAACGCCAATAAATTTGATAGATAAATGTATGTTACCACTTGAGGAATATGTGATTTCATTTTTGCAATTGGTTACTTATTGTAATCAGATATTTTACTTCTCAGAAAGTTTTTGACATATTCTATTCACGCATTTAAGAAATGAAATAAAATTTGGATACGATTATTTTGGGCTAATTCAAGAGTTATATTATGAATTCAGAACCTGTTATATCTTTCAACTATTTCGATTCACTTTTGTGAAAAATTAAACAAGTAAATTCACGTGAGTTTGACAAAATTTTTATTCAAATTGCAGTGCTTATATGATAACTTTGATGTGCGATATTTCATGTTGTTTCCTTCTCTTTCGGTGATTTGTTTATAATATAATCATAAAATACTTTGAATATTTTCGTAATATTTACGAAAATATGTTGAAAATGGCTTTCTTACACCCGATAATACATGGTGTTCTGATGAGTGGGCGAGTGGAAATAATTAGACATTAAGTGAATGGTTTATTATTTATTATATTCCAAAAAATCTGTTAAAACTGAATAATTCGATTTGGTTTCGATATCCGTTCATTATGCAAAAGTTACACAATGCAAGTACATATATTTGCTGCACAATATCCTGCTTTATGACCTTCTGCTACACAATTCAACTTACATCTTGGATTGAAACATATTCCATTATCGGGTGGAAGTTGTGAATTAATTTTGTCAAGCACTTGTTCTGAAACAGAAAAAAAGTGAGTACTTCAGTCTACAACATAGCAACATGAACTTAGTGAAAAATCACTATAACACTTTTTGCTACACAATCACCATTCATTAGAATGAGTGAAAATTGAAAAGTTGAAACACTCCATTGGATATAATTATTTTCAAATTCAACGATTTGAATCTTGGAGTTCAGTACCTATCACATTTTTGAGGAATAAATGATATTTGACATGAACTATTTTCTTTAGTGTCCCGAATTATTATTCAATGTGATCACGTGTCCTTTTATTGCTTGAACTATGTTCTCTTTACATTTTCTAAGTTAGTTTTTGACCATGAAAATCTTCTTCAGTATTAATGTTTTTGGATTTTTCTTTCACCAATGATCTTTAACTTGCATAATACTTTCAAGTTATTCCATTTTGATCTAAAGCTACATCAAATCATCTAAAAGAACAATTCGTTCAGGCCAGTCTCAACACCCTACACAGTAGGTTAATGGACTGACACCTATCAGAAAACAACTACTCCCCTGGCTTACTATACGGTAAAGCTACATTCCAGCAATTATGTCACTTTATTTGAATTCATCTAATATCTGAATATAGTGTAATTATATAATGAAATGATGGGTCTTCCACATTGTCTTCATCAATTACTTGCTTGAAATTTACATAATTTGGGTACATTTGTACGAATTCAACAGTTCATAGTTCTCAGCAATATAGACTTTGACATAATTTTTATAGTATTTATAAATCATAGAAGAATAAAATAGTTCTATTATATGAGTTCTGTTTCGTTGGGTCTTAATAACGAATGTTCTAATGCCGAAAGTACCTATTATCTATTATTACAGTATCATTCTTTCGCAAATTCACTTCACATACCCTGTATGTAAGTAAAATTTGCCATTATGTTCATGGAAGTAATGTATGGAGTAAGTTATGGCACATTCATGTATCTGTGACATATAATTCAAATATTTTACCTTTCGTCAATTTTTCTTCAACTGGTTCATCTCCTGCATCTTGGCACTTTGCCACTACAACAATTGCAAGAAAAACAAATGCTACTAAGTATTTCATTTTGGTAGTTGAAGATAAGAATTACTGGGATTGAATACTATTCGGTATCTAGCGAATTACTGATGATGCTGCTTTTTGAAAGAGTTTATATATGTGAAGATAGCGTTTATTATTATTCATAAGTCTTTATTTGTAATACTATTTTCAACTATTTGAACATCAAAAAAGTAATTATTGATTCAAATTGTAACCCCCTGCTGACAGTTTGTTTGCGGAGAATATTCTGTTATAGCTCTGTTTTTTATGGAAGATATTTGATATAATGATAAATTAAATATTTGAGAAAGAGAATATTTGAAGGTTCTTGGTTTTTGTTAAGGGATTTTTAAAAACCATTTCTGAGACTATTTACTGTCCACGATCTAAAAAAAAAATCAAGAATAATAATGGAGAACTTTATATAAGGGTAGAAAAGGTAAATTTCTGTTCATTCCGATAAGTTAGTGGTGAAAATCAATATGTTTTCTCAAAGGACAATTTCGAGTTATCAGTATCTTGTCACATTCATTTTTTTCATATTGTGAATGGTGAATAGTCCCAGAAAAGGTCAATGAAAATTATAAAATATATTTAGAAGATGTAATTATTGCATGGTAAAACTATAATATTTATGTACTAACATTCTGCACCTTCGAAGTTGAAATTATGTAACATTTAAAGTACATAGTTTAGTGACAGGTCTTTGATAAATCCTTTAGAAAGTCTCCACTGTTCTAACATCACTACCAGGATCAGCATGAACATCAACCACCGTTCCTTTTGGCCAACAATTACGAGGTAAACTTCCATAAGCTACGATCACAACATCTCCCATTTTCATGTCTCTTGGATCACTGGTGAACTATTTTGTCCGTCTCGTCAAACTCGAAAGATACTATTTCACGCATCTGTTCCAGAAGATATCATTGATAAATTGCGATCACTTCTAGTCTGTAGGACATACTCGGAAAAATGCCAGCGGGATTCAAAGAACTTGTATCAATCAGGAAATGATTCGTAGTCAAGGCTTCATCTTGAAAAACGTGTACTATAGGTCGACTATGTTTTTGGCATCGATGAGACAAGTCCGGAGTATTTCTTTCTTTGGTGTCCATTCTTGGAGAATAGCTTTGATGGCAATTTCAACTGAACGAACGAACGAACGAACGAACGAACTTTCTCAGCTGCCATTCATCTTTATTGAAGTCTTTTGAAGCTGTTTTCAATTCTCGTTGTTCAGCACCATGAAAGTTTGACGCATTGTCACCTCAAATTTCCTTTGTACAGCACCTTCTACCATTCAGTTTTCTTATAGTCATTATGGTTATATCTGCTCAGGTATTAAGACAGGGGAAAAGAACCCCATAAATTTTCTTCCTTCTTCTTTCAATAGCAATACCCAGAAGTTGAAAGTAATCAATTCTCGGAAATGTAAAGGGTCTGACAAAATCTTTTAATCTGCAAGTTAATGAAGATGCCATTTTAGGACAGGAAGGTTCCGTATTCTTGATTTCGTATATCTGGCATGAATTTCAACAGCTTCTCATTGCAGCTCGCGAACATAAGATATGAAATTAACTATGACTAAGAGGGTCATTTTTATCATGGTGAAATTTTATCAGCAACTTTGTATATTGATTTTTAGGGTCCAATCATAGGGGAGCCCAAGCGGGGATTTAAGGATTTATTAAAGCGCAGCAGATTAATATACAGGGGGATACCTTTTACTCCGCTAAGTACCTCCACCAAACATGAGCCTCATATATAAGGCCGCCCGTGAAGGATAAAGGATCAGATTAGTAAAAAAAAATTGATCATCAGAAATTCTCGAGCGCGTCAGATTAAAGTAGGGTCAGTTAATTACATGCTAAAAAGTGTATATTCCAGTAATCTGACAATTTGAGAGTGACTTAAAGAAAGACAATGACAGCAAAGTTGTAAAAAAATAACGTCATCTTGACATTCTGTAGCGTAGCAATTTTTTTTTATTTTGAAGGAAATAATTCAAGGATAACGAAAAATATATAATCTGACGATTTCCGCAACTCCCTCTCCGCGTTTCTATTCATTTTTCACTTTTTCTCTATTTATCACTCTTTCAATCCGTCCCCACTCTGAATTCTGTTGCCATGACGCCATCACAGCTGATCACAGAGAATCGTTCGTGATGAAGATGATGATTAATTAATCAATTGATTACAAAAAATTACATTTTTTTGAGCATATTTTTTTTAATAAGTTTCATATAAATACAAGTATTCTATTTAAAAAAACATACATTCATTCATTTGCATGCTTTTTCCTGAGCTCTTCAATTGATTAAGTTCAATGATTTAAAAAAATTGAAAAAAATATTTTTTTTTTGTCAGATTAGGCGAATCCCTCTAGATAATCGTCAGATTATGAGACAGCACGTCTAGAACACAAAGATGAACCATATATATCTCAATCTGATGCGCTTGTGTATTTCAAAATGACGATTTTTTTTGCACATTATAATGATGGCCGCGAGTTTGCGTCAGATCGAAATCGTCAGATTATTGAATGAGAGCTTTTTTTTGGGTGCACTTAATACTTCCTTGGAAAATCTGACGCGCTCGATTACATTTTTTTCTTTTCACTTTAAACCCTTATGCACAACCACCCGCATCATGCAAACGATCAGATTAACATACGTACATTATTAAAAATACGTAGGACATTGATGCTATCAATATGTGACGCGCTCGAGTATGTCCATGCAACAGTATTGCCCCACCGATATAACATTTTTTTCTTCTTATCATCTAAGCTTTGCAAACTGATATGTCCCTATGACGCTCGAGTAAATCCCCATTTAGCATCGTGGGCTCCTCTACTACAATCGGGTTTTTTGTGTTTCTATCCAAATCGGTTGATGTTGCAGTTCGTCCTCTGATTCTCACGATCTGTTGTTTATCCGTATATGATGACAATTTAACGAGTCTGCTCGTCCCCAAAATACCAAATTTTCCAAAAATTTGGTTTATTTCTTCAGGCACATTTCATCAATTTTTCTCCGGCATGTGGTATATCTTTCGCTCTCAATTCAATTTCAGATGTGTGTGGATTTTCTCAATATTCAAGCAGTTGTTCTGATCAATTTCAAGCAAGATAAGAATCTGCTCATTTCTGGTAGATGATCAAATCCATAGCGGTAGGTAAACATTCTTTTTTCAATATCTTCGTATTGGGTTCTGATTCAAAATATTCCAAATTAAATTGAACCTCATTAATTTTCAAAAATTGGGGGCCCTTCTATCCAATTGCTGATGATTTTGTTGAATCTTGCAGCAATGATAGCGATATTCTCTTTGATGGAAATCAAGTGCCAGTTCTACATTTGCTATTTCTTGTATTTCATCTACTTCATGGGCCACAAAAAGTTTATACTCATGAGAAATCCTTCATTTCAGCCAGCTGATCACTATTTTCCAGTCTGACCAAAAATAAACAGAGCCGAATTTCGCGTTATGGTCCCCTTAAATAAATTTCGGAATTCAACATACCAAAGACGTTGCTTATAGTGTCAGTCTTGAAATGGCAGTAGGTTTTTATGGAGTTACTCTCAGTTCAGTCATCACCAATAGAACACGAATATTATTTTCAAAAGTTGTTCTGATATAGAGCTGCATATGCTTTCGCACTTGCATCACTAAAGTTATGTAGTTGAACACTTCTGAATCTCGAAACATCAGGAATATAACATTTGGAAATTACAACATTCTTGGTGTTTGCTGATTGCTTCAACCATTACATCTATTACTCATTTATTTTTGAATTCACTGCCTCATCCCAATCTAAACCAGAATTTCACCAATATTGTTTTTCCGTAAACTTGTGAATTTTGTTACTGGAGATAACAATTCGTTAACAATGTATTCTGATTTGCCAAATCTCTTTTTGGAAGTATCAATTATTTTTGAACTTCAGACATGCCTGTACTGATTCTCCATATACCTTTGTTATTGGGAAATGAAATGTGTTCGGAAAACCGGCAACATTTCAATTCTCAGTTCGATGTCTTTATCGCGAGACCGAGCATTCAAAGTTTTTTGTTTATGGTTTTTTTTTATGACTTACCAGAAAGAAGATTGAGTGTGTTGTGAATGAGTTTGAAGTTGAATCGCACCCGTATTGAAAACGATATAATCAGTTCGTTCGCTATCTCTTCGATATACCTGTTATATGCCCATGGCTGACCTCTACCATTCATCTCCAAGGTGACCATCTCAAGAGCATAGCTGAATCATCATCCGGCACCTACGCAGTTCCAGAAAGATCCCAGGCGCCGTTTACTGTTCTTTGTTCACCTAGACGCTTACTTCATGATATTTTTTCATATAAAAACGTCCTGCGTGGCGTAATAAAAGTTAGTTGTATTCTAGTTGTCATACTGTTACTACTCAACTCTGGGGATACAGATCTGTTTCCCCTGTTCAATAAATATTAATTTTAAAAAAGTTATTTTTCTCAAGTGAGTTATAACAAAATTGGCGCAGTCGGTAGGATCCTTCAACACTATACGAAATAAGGAACAGCCTAACCGATAGTGGTGGATCCTAGTCCTTCAAGGAAGAACCAACAACCCCAAGCCACAGGACCATAGCAGGACGGTCTCTTCAACGGTAGAAGAACAAGCGCACGCTAACTTCGCCGGAGCAACGCTAGTGAAGCCGGATTTCATCCTCCATGGACATCCTTTGGTAAGCAACAAACAAAGAATCATCTCGATTTTTTTAATATAATTGAATATATTCATTCTTGTGTGTACTGTTCTATTTTTAAAAATGCCCAACACAAATGCTTCACCCAGTGCACCCCCACTTGAAACCCTATAAATTGAGTGAAATTTTTTCAATTGTCCCAGAATATGACGGTGATCAAATTTTTCTTAATACGTTCATAAGTGCGTGTAATACCGCTTACCGCATGGCAATTCAAGACCAAAGAATTCTACTCATTTTACATATCAAAAACAAACTCAGAGGTAAAGCAGCAGAATTAATAAGTTCTCGCAACCCAGAAACTTGGGAAGAAATCAAAATATTGCTAAACCAATATTTTGGTGATTCTCGAGATTTAGCCTCTTTAATTCAAGACCTGCAGAGAATTTTCCAAATGCCA